ACTTGTTTACGCCGAATGGCAGTGTCAGTTATTGCGCAAGAGAGTACAGTGTTATCAAGGAGTACGTAGTAACTCAGAAATGTAAGTAGAAATATAATATTTTTCTTCAGACTCTTCCCGTTTGTGTCCTCTTTCCCTCGAATCAGTGGATAAAAAAATACCGGTATATCTCTGGTTGAGGGCGTAGTTTCTGTCGCTAAGCGAAAGATCCAGGGTTTACAACAACCTATCAAAGAGGTGCCCTCTATGCACAGCGGAGAAGACCTGGACAGCGCTGAGCGACAGTGACTACGTCCTCAACAAGAGAAGTGAGATGGTCTCCAAGTTCCGACATGCAAGCAAATACTGGCTGAAAGATTACTCAGGGGCAGCTATCACCTGAAGCACCCCTTTTCACCTGGGCAATCAGCGCTGTCTACACATCCTATGGCTAAAACAAGTAATGATCTTGTTTCGGGTCAGCCGGCCGGGCCATTTTCCCCAAATTCTGAAACTTTTTTTGGTCCCAAATGTATACGAACAGTACTTATGTGCCATGTGTGCAAGTGCACTCAACGAGTCGGAACTCAGTCAAATCTTGACCGAATTCAATAATCAAACTACCTACGCGGTAGCAGAGATTCTCTGCGCGCTCGAAAAACTTGGGGGTAGATACGAGCTAGCATAACGGAGCTGCAAGCACTCGAACGTGTTGCTTGATTCCTCAGGATCTAGGACGACAGGACTACTGCTGTACAAGAGCAGTCAGTGAACTGTGACATTGAGCCATACCTACACTAGCCATACCTACACTAGCCATACCTACACTAGCCATACCTACACTAGCCATACCTACACTAGCCATACCTACACTAGCCATGCCTACACTAGCCATACCTACACTAGCCATACCTACACTAGCCATACCTACACTAGCCATACCTACACTAGCCATGCCTACACTAGCCATACCTACACTGTATATCATGATACATGTTTCTGTCATGTCACGGGACTGTAGACGCGAAGATGACCAATCGCATTGCACCTAGCAGGCCCTAGATGTAGATAATCAAGCGAGGTGCAGAGGGCTTGATGGCTGATCAAAGCCCAAGGGACCAGCCCGAGGGCTTTGATCAGTCATCAGGCCCGATTGTACCTCGCTTGAATTTGCTTCAGACGATCCCCAGCAATATTTTTTTGATTTTCAATTGCTTTATTCTTTGGGTGATCTCTCGAGTGTGGATAATGTCGGCTTTCGTTTGGGATTTCAGAGCAGCTTGAAGTCATGCACGTCGTGTTCGTCCCGTTTGTAAGTTTCACACAGAGATTACAGGAAAGGGAAAGTCATTTGAGTGGACGATAAACCTGTTCAATGAGAAATTTCTCAAGACTACAACAATAGTGACAAGAGCCAGACGTGGCTGAAGTATTTTTCCTTCGACCATACACACCTTGCTCACGCTGCATACTGCTGCGAGTTCTGAGGTGCTGGAGCTAGATTTCAAACTCCACATGTTGAGAGCCGCCGCAGCCCCGACCACCACCCCTATCGGTTTCTTGTTCCTATAGCCCGACCACCTTGAAAAGACTGAGACTGGGCATGATCAGGGCTTTGATGGTTTTGTCGTACAGTTGCCAATAGCAGCGGGCTTTGATGATTTTCTTTTACAGGTTGCCCCTGACAGCGGGCTTTGATGGCATATCAAAGCTCGCGGCGGGCTGTGATTAGGCGATCTCACACTTTTGCTCGATTCCATACATGTATATGTAGGTGTGTAGGTGATCTTGTTGATCAATACCACAACGATTGATAAGATAAAAAATATCCAAAAAAAGTTTCATTCCGGCCGACCGAGTCTCCTTTTTGAAGAGTTGCTGACCCGAAACAAGCCTATTTTTTTCGTTTTGGGCTAACTGTTATCTTTCATGGTGCTGATTTTCCCTAGTGTGTGCTTACACGCGCACCAACCAGCACACTAGCTTCGCACAGTACTACTGTACAGGGCATAGCTTAAGGATTTCATTTAGCTCGGACAAATGTCCTTCCGTTTTGAAATCTGTCCGGACATGCCCGGACGTGTGTGAATTGACTGTAGCAACAACGCTACAGCAACGAGTCATCTGAGGACGACACATCCGCAGAACGTAAACGAATTGATGCTGGCAGTCCCAGTAACTGGAGTGATGAGGAGTTCTACTCTGATGATGACCGGGCAGCGACCGGCGTCGACGTGGCCTTGCGAGTTGAGTCGGCTGACGATTTGTCCAGAGCGCACATCGCTTCAGAAATCCATGACAATGCCAGCATTGACTGCAAGTGTAAAACCTAACACCGGGCTCTGCTATTACCTCGAATTGATGATTTGAGTGTCCTCATGCACAACGTGGCTAACATGGGCAGCAGGCAGTGCAAACAGTACATCTTGGGCTCACTTGCGAGTGGGTCAAGCCGTGTACAGGAGGGAACTGGTGCCCGGAATGTGAGTGTAACATACTGCGTGTTGGGCCGGCGTTGGTGATGACACCACAGTAGGTGTGACTTCTGCTTCAGCTTCTGTCTCGGTGGATACTGCTAACTCAACACCGGTTGCAACAGTTGCTGGTGCCGTTTCTACTGGATGCTCCGGTCGTAATACAGTTTCCGACTCCTCCTCTCTCCCCGGCACAGTCGTGAACGTGGGATGTCCAGGTCGAATCTGGTCAATATGGCGCCGCCAGCTACCACCGTCTGCGGTCACCACTACGTACGACCTTGTACCATAACACTCAGATACCGTAGCAGGAATCCAACTTGGCTTGTTCGGTTTCCGATAATCTTGAACGAGCACTGACTCTCCCAGCTGAAACGTTCGCGTGAGGGTGAAGATTTCTGTTGTGCTCTTTGCTGTGCTGCCACCCGGGTCCGTACATCCGGGCGTAGGAGATCTAGCCGTGTGCGCAAACGTCGGCCCATTAATAGGTTGGAAGGTGTTTCGCCGGTAGTTGGGTGGACTGTGTTGCGATAGGAGATCAAGAACTTGTCCGCTGCTTCCTGACAAGGCATCGCATCGGGGAACGCCTTCATGGCACGTTTGAAGGACTGGACAAACCGTTCTGCCAGCCCGTTGGTGGCAGGGTGGTATGGTGCTGACGTGCGGTGTCGGATACCATTCGCGCGCAGGAACCCTTCAAAGTCTGCGGCGACAAACTGGGGCCCATTGTCGCTGACCAACTCCTCGGGACAGCGTAGCGAGCAAATACGGTGCGTAGAGTCGTGACCGTTGCCTGAGCTGTGGTGGATCGAAATGGCAAGACTTCCGGCCACTTCTAGTGTCCATCTACAATGACCAGCCACATGTGTCCTCTTAGTGGGCCAAGGAAGTCTAAGTGGATGCGCTCCCATGGTCTACTGGGCCACACCCATGGGTGCAGACGGGCCTTCTGCGGGAGATGTTGCGCTTGCTGATAGCCAAGACAGGCTTTGACCGTCTGCTCCAGAGCAGTGTCAATCTGGGGCCACCATATGTGGCTGCGGGCGAGACTTTTCATGCGAACAATGCCGGGATGTCCGCTGTGCAACTCTGCTAGAATCTCCGCATGATGGGCTGATGGCACAACGACACGATTGCCCCACAAGAGACATTCCATACTTAGACTGAGCTCGTTGCGTCGATTAAAGTATGGTTGCAAACTGGGCTTCGGACAGGCTGCTGGCCAGCCAGTCTCCACATATCGTAGCACTTCGGACAACAGAGGGTCTCGACGTGTACTATCACGAATCTGTCTGGCTGTGACTGGCAGTGGATCTGTGAGCGACGTGTAGAAAACCTCGACCGCGTCGTCACCAGCGTCACGAGTCGGTGCGCCGACCGGGATACGGGATAAGCCATCTGCTTTGCAGTGATCCTGAGTCCGCCGATAGAGAATCGTATACTGATGTCCTGCAAGAAACATAGCGTAGCGCTGTAGCCGGGCCGCAGTCATTACCGGCAATCCTTTCGAAGGGCTGAAAATTGATACCAGTGGCTGATGATCTGTCAGCAGCTCGAAATGCCGACCATAGACATAGTTGTGGAATTTCTTGACTCCCCAGACAATGCCCAATGCTTCCTTGTCGATCTGCGAGTACCGCTGTTCTGTGGCTGATAGCTTCCTGGACGCAAATGCAACAGCTCGTTCCCCACCGTCAGGCAACACATGTGACAATACTGCACCCAACCCATATGGCGATGCATCGGTTGCAAGACGAAGTGGAAGACTTGCATTGTAGTGCATGACCACTTGGTCAGAAGCCACGAGTTGTTTGATTCTCACAAAGGCATCTTGGCATTCCGCGGTCCACTGGAACGGCTGATTCTTCTGTAACAATGCTGTGATCGGGCTGAGGACCGTTGCCATATCCGGCAAGAACCGCTGATAATACGTCACCGGACCAATGAAGCTTCTGACTTCAGAGACGTTCTTAGGTGGCAATGCTTCGCCCACGGCATCAATTTTGGATGGCAACTGGTGTAGACCTTGGGCGCTGATAGTGTGTCCACAATACTGAACTTGCTCCTTGAAAAAACTCACACTTGCTGGGGTTCACCCGGAGTCCAGCATCAGCCAGGCGTTTGAGGACAGCTTCCAGGGTCTGCAGATGCTGGTCGTCATCCTCTCCAGTCAGAATCACATCATCGATGGTGCATTCAACTGGTGACAGGTCTCCCAGCAGCTGGTCCATGGCACGCTGCCACAAAGCTGGTGCTGATGCGATGCCATACGCTAGTCGATTGAGTCGGTACAGTCCCAAGTGCGTGTTCAGCGTTAGCATTGGGCGTGACTCTTCTGCAACCTCCATCTGAGTATATGCTGCTTTCAAATCGAGCTTCGTGGATCTCTGACCACCCGACAATGAAGCGAATATGTCGTCGATGAGTGGGAGCGGGTGTTGGTCCACTCGCAACTGCGGGTTGACGGTGACCATGAAGTCACCGCATAGTCGAACGGTACCATTAGGTTTCGGAACGGGCACAACTGGTGTGGCCCAGTCACTCCAATCGACTCTCCGACATGGTCACTTTGTGTACACTGGTACCCTCTGCCACAGCGTGGGACTCTGCAGACACTTCAACTGCGTCCTTTGCTGCGAGCTCCTGCGCTTTCGCGACAGAGACAGCTTTGTCAAATGTCAGACTGTCCGTGGCTAATACTTTTCTGCGAACACTAGCACTACGTAGTCCACAGACAAACCGGTCCTGGAGAGCTTCAGGCAGATGAGCCTTGAACTCACAAGTCCGAGCCAAACGCCTGCGTTCGGCCACGTAACTGACAATTGATTCTCCTTGCCGTTGATCACGCTGGTAAAAAATGGTACCTCTCACCAATTACGAGCGGCTTGGGAGCCAGATGATCTAAGAGAACATTTTTCAGTTCTTCGTACAACTTGCTGTCCGGCTCGTCAGGAGCCAACAAATCCCTCAGCAAATCGAAAGCTGGACCACCGATGACAGTAAGCATCGTGGCCTTTTTCAAGTCGTCGTCTACAATTTTATTCGCCGTGAGGTAGTGGTCAAGACGAGACGAGTACGAGGCCCACTCTCCCGAAGAGACATTGAACGGTTCGAGGGAACCAATGAGCGTCGCCATTCTTCTACAGGTTCTACAAGAACCACTTCGTCGCCAATGTTATGTTTCTACCCGAGGGCAAAACATGAGCAAACGACAACACAACCGGACTTGAGTTTACTTGGTATCGAACTGACTTACAACAAAAACATGAAATCAAAGAATACCAAAGATCACAAATAAAATAACATGAACCTACACTACGGCTGCGCAGCCTGCAAGGCGCGACCTACGTGTAATCAAGATGCACACTACACAGTATGCCTTACTGGGTCTGTGGTGTGCATACACCACATTTGTAATTGGCCTAGGAACAAGCAGCCTAACTGCACAAGGCCTGCATGCATGCTAACAACTGCGCTGGTCAGAATAAGAACCGTGCAGTGATGGCATACTTGTGCTTGCGTGTGATGCATGGTTTGTCAGATGAAACAACTTTATCTTTTATGCGTGTAGGACACACCCGCTGCAGTGTTGATGCTAAGTTTGGCAGGCTTAAGCAAAACTTCAGAAACTCTGAGGTAGATTCAATGGCAGATGCTGTGCTTGCTATTGATTCTTCATGTGATGCGAATATTGCTGTTCGCCTATGCTGGGATTGGCTGGATTGGAGTTGTTTCCTAGCTAACTTCTTCAAGGCCGTCAAGGGCATTACAAAGTACCACTTTCGAGGGTTATACGACACCGTCTACCACTTTGATGACCTAGGCAAAAAAACACACAGGGTTGTTTATAATGTTTCATTTCTCATATTTTCTTTCAAGACATAACCTGGGATTCGAACCCGCACTATCGCCCTGCATGCATTCCCCCGGCACACTTCGCACTCATACTCATTCTTCCAAGTTGCTTCACATTATGATCTTGCATTTGAAAGCCCTGTTTGTATATTGTGGCCAGCAGTCTTTGATGGTACGGTACGGGACAGGTACGGGATAGCGCCAGGCATGCCGACGGCACAAACAAAGAAACGAAACTAAAGCTGTTTGGACCCTGGCTGGCGCCAGACGTTACTGAAGTAACGTCTTTTGCATAGCTACGGGAATAAAAAGAACTGACTCTGCCGTCATCACCATGCATCAACGAAGTCAAATGTTTTCCGTAATCAATTTTCATGTCACTATCATCAGTGGAATATCGTGACTGAATTGAAGGCTAGCCAGGCAAAAACAAAGATGAATGATGCCTTCAATTCAGTCACGCTGTTGCTGTTCTTCTGTTTCTTGCGCAGTTAATACCTATTCCCTGGCCCTCGGTGAGCCTGGAACACTTCCGATCGGTTGTGAACACTATGGCGTTTTCACCCACACATGGTACAATCATAACACGAAGGAGGTGCTCGACGACTTCAACGGCACCGGCTCTCTCCGGATACGTTTTGAGACTTTCTGGACCACTGCGCTTGATATTCCTGAGTTCCTCGAGGAGCACGTTAACATTACGCTTGCGTGTGCATTTACTACTGCTAATTCACCAGCGCAACTCGACAGGTACCTCAATGACGTTGATGACAACATTATTGTTCTCTTTAAGTATCAGCTCCTGCGCAAACGTAAGTGCCCTTTTCTCACGCCACTGTCGTGCAACTCTCTGCACTCTAGCTGTAACTCCCAAATTTTAGCGACAAAACCTTGCCGAATGTGGAAAATTGGTGACACCAAACAACTGCAACGATAACACAAGAAATCTGCTCACTGCTGATTAACTCAATCTGCTCCTGCAGCGCTCACCCTCTCCCATACTTGTAAAGTTCAAAGTGATGTAAATCACTTTCCAACTGTTTAACCCACAATCTCACCTCATCAATTTATCTCTTATTGGCGATGGTGCCATCGTGAGAATAAAGAATTCAACAATTCAACACATTCTCCTTCTGTACACATAGTTCTGGATCTAGTTTATGAATATACAGAGCTTCTAACACAGCAAGATGTAACTTACACCTTCCACGAGTTAAAACCGAAAAGATATCATCACTATACAACTCACGACAATTAGCACTTCCAGACAAATGACGCTTGATGGACGATTTCCAATCATTTAGCTCTGTCACCTTCTACGTTTGCCTTTGTTCTCTTCCGTTGGGCTTGTTGACACCTCCAATGTCCTTTGAATTCATGGTCGTTTTCGTTTGAGAAGCTCTGTATATTCGTAAACTAGATCCAGAACTATGTGTACAGAAGGAGACTGTGTTATCGTTGCAGTTGTTTGGTGTCACACCTCGTGAAAGTGTGACAAGTGTTCCTTGATGTGTTCATCGTGTTTGTCTACAACTTTAGCCATTTTATCGCCTATGTTGAAGTGTTGACTTTTTCTCTATTTTTCTATATGAGGCATCGGCAGAAAAATGCCAATATTTGCGAAAAACCGAACCGATGTCGTTTTTAGTCACCGCGTTCAAAGCGAAAAGACTTCTTGCACTATCGCTTTGAAATTGCCTTCCTCTTGGTGGCTTTACTATTATTTTGTCCGCCAAGCACTTGGGACATCCTGATAGGTGTTTTCAGCCACCACGGAGGCGTTTGCGCTCTGGGTAGCATCTGCAAATCATGCGCTCAAAAGAGAGCGAAACAAATAATTTCTTGGCGGAACGATCCCGTCACAAATTCTTGATGGAGCAAGAGCGACTATAATATTTGGCAACTGGATCATGGATCTCCAGAGATACTCCGCTGCCTGTGATAGTCCCCCGCAAGAAGAATCAGGTGAAAGTGAAGAGGTTTCACTCAGATGACAAGCCATCAGCGGAGGCAGCGGAGACGCTGAGTTTGAGAGCTCCGTGACACGAGGTGGCAACGCGGACAGCAGCGCTGAGAGTGCCGAACGAGATTCAGTACTCCGTGGCGACTATTCGCAGCTGGATAAGTTGGTGAGATACGTGAGACAGCCCTGAATGAACTAAACCTTCCTTGATACAAGATATTTTGTGAATAAAATTGTTGCAATATATAAACATGCACGCTTGCAGTGCTCATGAAATTTATCACAGTATAATGCATGTATCTACGAGCTCCTGTACGTAGGATCCAGGAGAGCAAGGCATGCTTGGTGGATGTATCTAGCTTGGCCCAGCATGCATATCTAGTCTTGTAGGTTCTTCCCAGCCATGTAAAACATCAGGTGCTTGGCTTCTTTCTGTCTGACAAGTCTGCATACCACACCATACCGGCACATGACAGGGATTGAGGTTTCAAGCATAGCAGCAAAGGCAGGCAACAATGTTACTATAATATCAACTAGAGTACTCTGTGCTTCCCTCAAGACCTATAAATATGCTAAATCATTCTCAACCACTCCGTAAGAGTCAACTGTTACTGCATTCCATTTTGCCTTTTTGCTGACCATTTTTGTCAACCTTCACCCATCATTTCGGGCGTTTTTTTTACTATCTTGGTAGGTGCCCAGAGCTCCAAAATTTGGCCCATAGATCACTCATTTAGTGGACAGTTCAAAGCCATCAAAAACTCATTTTCGCCAAATATCACCTAACCCTGGTTTTTGCTGCCCATGCCTCGTATAGTTATGTGTTTTTCCAAATTTCCAACATCCCCTGAACTATCCTGAAGAGAAGGGAAAGAAAACGTTGGATAGAAAGGACGTGTCTACTGAATTGTGTGGATTTGCGTAGTTGCATGCGAATACTGATTACGAAACTGTTTTTTTCCACCGCCTCCAAACTACCCACACCGGAGCTATTCCGCCGACTTTACTTACTTTACCGTACTTTACTTTACACTACTTCGTAATAATAATAATAATAATAATAATAATAATAATTGTAAAAGAGAAAAGGACATATGGATACGAGTTTAGAGTAACTCTCCATCACTGTAACATGATACTATATACAGTCCGAAAGTGCAATAACTAGGCACAAAACTGACAGAGTACTGAGACATTCGACGTCCTGACACCTAACTTTAACACATCTCCGTAGCGCTAACCGACAGCCTTCCAACTTGGAAGGTTCAAGGTTATGGAAATACCAAAGAGGGGAAGGCAAGCGCAACGAAAACGAGCAAAAGCTACAGTCCCAACGGAACAAAGAATGTCGATTGTTACTGGACGATGACGAGACCAGTACGATATTTGACAAAGCGGTCTAACTACAATTCGAAGCAGCAAAGCAGCACACCACCCAACTTGGGTGGGTCATAAATATCAAAGATAAGTAAAGAAAGGGAAGCTTTGCGAAAACGAATTGTACAAGCCGAAAGCCAAGCTCCTACAGTACTCCTCATGCATGACATTGTGATGGACTAGTTGACTACAAAACAAGTTGTTTCACACGACGTACGTTTCGCCGTATGGTTCGTGACGGCTCATCAGGTGTGCAATTTGAAACTCGGATGTTGAGCCATAAATAAATGTAAAAGAGAAAAGGACATATGGATACGAGTTTAGAGTAACTCTCCATCACTGTAACATACGT